AACATGTTCTTCAAAGAAGTCTGGACCCGAACTTGGAACCACAACATTATCTGGCTCTATCCCACCTACTAGTGCAAGCACAACTGCCACCAGAGGAGTAGCGCCTACTACGGAATTCCCCTCCTCTTGAGCACCCACAACATCTGAACTGAGTAAAGGAGGAGGCATGAACTCACCCTCATTTGCCTCCTCTGCCATAATAACATTAAGAGCGTGTGCATAACCCACTTCATCCTCTGTAACCTCTGCAAATAGATCACCTTCTGACACAAAGATAACCTCTGAAGGTGGTTAAATAATGGCATTATCCCCACCCCCATCGTCTAAAACCACTATCAGAAGACCTTTATCTTCTTGTGGTACTCTAAGGGCCCCCTCCACCAACCTCTTATGTGCCGTCTTACGAAACAGAAGCAAATGAGCGGCCATGTTCAAGTAAATCCACTGCAAAAGCTTAATAGCAATTTTTTGATCTCCCTTTAGCACACACAAGATCAACCCTCGCAATTCTGCTTCAGGCTTATCAAAGGAAGCAGCCTCAACGCCGCCTTCTCCACTTTGATATTGAACCTCAGAGATGAACACACCAACTTCTCCACTCTGATGTTGAACCTCAGAGGTGAACACCGAAAAGACGCTAACCCTCCCCACCTTCTTAGGATCAGGCAACATACTTGCAGGTTGATCCTCATCAGAAATGATCCTAGCCGCCTTCACCATGCCACATGGAACTTGCCTCGTGAATGTAGCTGAACTCATCTTCCCTAAATCTTCCACCAAATCCCAAGATCCTGCCACTTTATTTTGACCCTTCGCATCTTGCAAAATAACCAGCATACCCCTTGCCTCTTTAATTGGTCGATCTTTTAAATGGTCAACCATTTGTCCACTGTAACTACTACTTACTTTAGCGTTTCCGGATTTAGCTCTCCACACCTTTTTGAATTTTGGAAACTGAGCAAAATCCTTATGATATCTAGGGCCATATGAACTACCACCACGTGGCTTATCCTTCCGAAAGATACGAGCAGTTGGAATTCCTGCCATTCTTTTCCTCCTGTCAGCTTCACTATTACAGGCCCCAACCCGATCAAAAACATTCCTCCTCCTCCTCCTAGATGTCACCTCCGTCTAATGATTATCCAGGATCTTGGGACCATGGGCTCAGCAGCACCCACCAGGTTAGCCTTGGGTCCTTCAATGGAAACATCAATTAAGAAATCCTCTGACCCCACAGATAACCAAGCTTTCCTCAGGTTTGGTGAATGAACATTCTGATTAACCTTAACTCTAACAAAGGATACATCGTCACCTCTTAACGCATCCCAATCAACTCCCAAACAATCCCCACCTGCATTGTTGACACATTGAAAACTCTTAGGCTCCATAAATGAATAGGACCCCCCAAAATTTAATCCAAAACACATGCTTTGGGACCAAGGAAGCATGATCAAAGCTTTTAGATTTACCTAAAGTAACAACCTACCACGAACCCTCACCACCTAAACCCTTAAAGGCTCTTTCCACATCTGAGTTACAAAAGAAGAACTTGTTGTGATCCATCCATTTAAGCCTTGTAGAGTACGAAAGGCCTCAAGAGCATCTAGCGTAGTCACTTAGACCAAATAAATCATTGGGAGACAATCTCCTCACCTCTCTTCTCACACCATGTATCCTCATTGTCTTCCTCCATGAGCCAGTTACAATTGATTTTTCTGCTTCTTTATTCATGTCGGATACATCGTTGCACCTAATGACAAGCACACTCTTGTTGCAGTTCATCTCCACCATTCATCATTGAAAAGAACAATTAGTGACTGCTGTTGTGCTCGAATACACCATATACCGATGGTGTGCAGTCTATACTATCCATATTATGTGGCACACATGGTAGTGGCATGCACCTTTTATTCTTATTATTGACGATAGAGATCAACAATATGAGAGAAAAAAAAAAGGAAAAAAAGAAACATTGTACTGAAGATTTCATATTGTTTAGTTTACCATTGGATTGAGCCGTTGTAAAATCTTATCCGTCTAATAATTGCAGGCCAATTCTATGTGCAAACCATGTGTTTGAGAGATGTCTAAAAGTATACTTTATACCCAGGGTATTTTGCACAAAAACATGTTTGACAACTTCTTTAGACCCATAATCACACATTAAGCAAGAAAGAGGGCCCAAAATTTGGGTACACAAAGTCAAAGAAAAAGTTTATGGGTACACAAATTCAAAAGAAAAAGTTGGTTTATCCAAAATGTGACTATATGGGTACACAAAGTCAAAGAAAAAAAGTTTATGGGTACACAAATTCAAAGAAAAAGTTGGGTTATCCAAAATGTGACTTTGTATGAGCATGAGTGTCTTAATAAAATAATAACATATATAATTACATTGAGACCATTTACTTTTGATACAAGGAGGTCACAAATACTTACAACCATCTAATGTGAAATTCGATAGTTTGGGTGTGTTACAAAGTTCGAGAAAATTTCTTTTGAAATTTGAGTTTGGTCAATGAAATAAATGCAGCCATCAAATTTTACATCCAATGGTCACGATGAATTATGACCATCTTGTACCAAAGATAAATGATCTCATTGTATACTTTTCCTAATTATTATTATTGTTGTTATTGTAAATATACCTTTATTTTCGCTTAATTAGAAAAAAAACTCTCAACTTTTATAAACCTTATCCACCCCTTTTTTTGGTATTTTTTTTACTAAAATAGCCTTCACAGTAGTCGTATTATTGTGAAGTCCTAGAATTACGGTACTTTAAGTACCGTAATTGCTACCTCATTTTATATTGCATTTTAAATGTTGTGACAACTCGAAGTATTTTAAATGCCAAAACTGAGAAAAAAGGGTGCGGACGGGGTTTATGAACGTTGAACGATTTTTTATAATTTGTCAAAAAATTAAGGTATATTTCTGATAGTTTTTTTTTAATTCTTCAAAAACACCCCCACAAATTAGAGAGAGACTATATCAAATTTTAAGTTTTATAGAAAGAGTACTTTAAAATTTCAGAAAGAGAAACAATATTAAACTTTAGAGAGAGAAACTGCCTAAAAATTTATAGAAAGAGAAACTATATCAAAATTTTTGGAGAGAGAAACTATCTCAACTTTCAAGTTTTAGAGAGACAAAGTATATTAAAATTTTAGAGAGAAATTATATCAAATTTTAGAGAGAGAAACTACGTGAAAATTTTTAGATAGATAAATTGTTTCAAAATTTTTAAACAGAGAAACAATATCAAATTTTAGGTTTTAGAGAGAGAGTATCTTAGAATTTTAGAGATATAAACTATATCAAATTTTAGATAAAGAAAGTACTTGAAAATATTTAAAAAGAGAAACCATCACAAAAATTTTAGAGAGAGAAAATATCTCAAATTTTTAAGTTTTAGAGAGAAAAAGTATCTTAAAATTTTAGAGAGAGAAACTAATTCAAAATTTTTAGAGAGAGAAACTACTTTAAAATTTTTAGAGAGAGAAACAATATCAATTTTTAAGTTTTAGAGAGAAAAAGTATTTTAAAAATTTAGAGAGAATAATTATATCAAATTTTAGAAAGAGCAACTACTATAAAATTTTTAGAGAAACTATTTCAAAATTCTTTAGAGAGAGAAATAATCTCAAATTTTAAGTTTTAGAGAGAGAATGTATTTTAAAAGTTTTGAGACAAAAATTGTATTATATTTTGGAGAGAAAAACTAGCTAAATATATTTAGAGAGAGAAAGTAACTCAGAATTATTTAGAGAGCAAAACTCTCTCAATTTTAAGTTTTAGGGAGGGAAATGACCTTAAAATTTCACAGAGAGAAACTATATCACATCTTAGAGAGAGACTACTTGAAATTTTTTAAAGAGGTGTATTATTTCAAAAATTTTAGAGGGAGAAACTATCATAAATTTTAAATTTGAGATCAAAAGTATCTTAGAATTTTAAAGAGGTAAACTATATCAAACTTTAGAGAGATAAACTACCTAAAAAAATTTAGAGAGAGAAATTATCTCAAAATTCTTTTAAGGGAGAATTATCTCAAATTTTGATTTTTAGAGAGAGTATCTTAAAATTTTAAAGAAACTACATCAAATCTTAGAAAGAGAAATTATCTAAAAATTTTAGAGACAGAAACTATTTCAAAATTTTGTAAGGAGAAAAACTATCTCAAATTTTAAATTTGAGAGAATTAAATTATTTGAGAATTTCAGAGAGAAACTATATCAAATTATAGAAGGAAACACTACTCGAAATTTTTAGATAGAGAAACTATATTGGAAATTTTTTAAATAGAGAAACTATTTCAAAATTTTTAGAGAGAGATACTATCTAAAAATTTAAGTTTTAGAAAGAGAAAGTATTTTAAAATTTTGGATAGAGAAATTATACCAAAATTTAGAGGGAACCTATATGAAAATTCTAGAGAGAGAAACTATCTCAAAATTTTTAGAGAGATAATCTCAAAGTTTTTAGAGAGAGAATCTATCACAAATTTAAAATTTTTAGAGCGAGAAAGTATATCAAATTTTAAATTTTAGACAAACTATTTCAAAAAAATTTAGAGAGAGAAACTAGAGTTTGATATATTATGCCTGTTTTCAATTGTGTTTACTAAATATGGAAAAAAAGATGCTCGAGTAAATTTTTCTATATAAGTATTTCCTTGTGTGAATACTTTTCATTTAAATATTTTCCCATTGAACTTTCACGCGTATCAAACGACCCCCAATGGCAAATATAGTTATAGAGAAAGATGATCGACACATGAGATTTGCTCAACTCGTTACCATTCAAAGCCATCCAAAACAATCCTGATTTAGTAACCAGGTTTTAATGATCTGGACCAAAGCCATGATAAGGCTAGTTCGGATGCTGTCTAGCCCGACCTAAGCCCGGTTGGGCCGTTAGCCCGATCTAAGCCCGGTTGTCCCGATCTAAGCCCGGTTGTCCCTTTGTCCAGGATAAGGCTTGCACGCCGCAAATTTGTTCGACCACATTTGGATTCCCCACACTTTATCTCACTGTCTCTCTCAGTTTCAAGTTTCAAGTTTCAAGTTTCAAGTTTCAAGTTTCAAACTTGAAAAACTAGAGCTCAAGTTTTGGGGTTGACAATGGCAGCTCTGCGAACTGCTGGCGCTTTCCATGGAACTTTGCTTCCTTCCTCTCCGAATAAGGTTCTCTCTCTCTGGAACTGCTGCCACGGTCACTGGAGTTTGCTTCTTTCTTCTAATAAGGCGCGCTCTCTCTCTCTCTCTCATTTTCTTCCTTTCTCTTTCCTTTATGCTTTTCAGCTGTATGTTCCTAATTCAGCGGCCATGGCTAGTTCTTCAAGAGACCTTCCACTCACAATCAAAGGATTCTCAAAGGAAACAGTTGCCTGTGAAAATGGTAAGCTTCCATTTCTTACTTGTTTTTACAAGGTTTTAGATGTGCTCTTTCTTTTTTGTTGACTTTGCTGTTAACTGTATTATGGCGATAGTGTGGCTTGATGCTCTGCTATTTGTTTATTTAAATTGGAACCGGGAACCGTTGATGGGTCACTTTTCGAGGATCAGGGGGCGCGAGCTTGATTGGTTAAGATGTTGAGAGTGCAACACTACGTCCCCAAGTTCGATTGCTACATCTGAACTACCTATAGAATATCTTGCTTTTGGATGTTATTTTAGATGTGCATTGTCCTTTTGGACTTCTGATGAAGCGTCTCAACATTCATCATAATATGTGGACCTATAATGTCTGAAAACTGATGAAAGTTATGCTCTTGAAAATGAGAACCAGGAATGATCAGGCATCAGTGAGTGTTGAAGATTGGAAATTGTAGTTTCTTTGTGCTCTAATGTGTCGAGCAAAAAGCGTGAGTGTTTGATCTATCTGATCTTAGTTTAATTATGTTGTTCTTTAGCCAGTTATATAGGTTGGGAGGAGATGTTTTAGTTGCAAATATTATATTTGATACTGCCAGATATGTTTACAATTGAGATATTTGTCTCTTCAACATTGCTGCATCTCTTTTCGGGAGACAATAAAATTGATCTGTCTTTTGTTCTGTTCTCAAGTACCTGAACTTTTGAAGTGTTGTTTCTGTAGTATACCAATTTGTTGGCATACCACCAAGCCATTTTTTATTGACTAATGACTCTTATTTTGTTTCGAAGTTATCCCATACTCTAGATGGACATGGATTTTAAGGCAGTGAATGTCAGTGGTGTCCTCAAAATGGGTGAAGACAATTGAATGTTCTTATCTGGAATCACATTGTTCTTTTGGATGGTGGTGACTATAACAGTATAATGCCTGAATAGAGAACAGCTGAAGGGAATTATCATCCATGATGGGAGTTTCATCTTTGGGAGCAAAATACATTAGCGGGCTGCAAAAACATGGGATATGTTTAATGTGGCATAGAAGTTGGTGCCGCCTGGTTGTTCTTCTTTGCTCGTCATAGATGTTCAAAGATTATCAGTTTTACTTCTCAGCTATCGGTGTGATGAATTATGTATTTTCATGATCTTTGCATTACCCTATCTCCTATCATGGGGCATCTGATACTTTAGCCTTTTCTCTTCTGTTCTGTTTTGATAATGGCTCCTTCTTAATGATATTGCTTATTCAGGATTTGTTCCTAGTACTTCTTGTTTTATGTCACTGTGTTTTTTTGCTTCTCATGATTCGTGGCTATAATCTTTTCACAATATTGTCACACTTGAATGATTTTGTTAGCAACAATATTCCTGATAGTGAAGTGAATTCTTTTAGCAACAATATTTCTGACAACCAAATGCCCCTGTGCATGCTAATCAAGTCATAACTAACGTAACATATCTGGGGTTTTGTGAATTTTGAGTCTATTTGTTGTTTTGGCCAAGATAACCTGGGTTTTTTGTTGGGGGCCTACCTATTGCTGCTGTGAAAGAGTGTGTTACAGTGGAAGTCAGGATTGAGGTCGTACGATAATGTAGAGGACAGAAAACCGTTCCCTGATTGCATCTCAAATGCTACTAAGAAGGTGAGAGCATCTGCGTACTTACATTTAAATCGCATATCAGTCATATAGTTGGGAATATCACCTCCTGAAATGATTGGATTTTCTGCAAATGTGGTTAACCTTACGACAAAAGTTAGAACCTGGGATCGTTCTTCGATTTAGCAAATCTAAGTCAGCATTAAAAGCTGCCTTGACTATAAGTATTAGAGACAGATAATGAAATGCAGACAACTACAGTATATCGAAAGATATAGGAAAAGATTATTAATTTACCTCAGATTATAGTTAAGGTATCTATTACTCTGCACAGAGGGTACTTGCATAGGTGGGCGAAGAGAGTTTGGTTGTGTGTTCTTAGTCCCAGATGAGAATTTATTGGTAAATGAGATATGCAATATACAGCCTGTCCACAGTTCCATATTCTTTCCATTACCTCTGTGCTTGCCTTCATTTCATTATCAATGATCAAATGCTATCCTATTAAGAAATCTGTTTGTCTTGTTCTCAAATATCTTGTTTATTTAGCTGGTATACACCTAACCCAGAGTATAGACCAGACATATAAATTCTCTAAAGATTTCTTTTTTTTTTTGAATGTCATATGTGCAGGAATTGCAGGTTGTTGTTTCTATTTGGCTTTAGACCTATATAATGATTGCTCTTTAATAAGTTGTTGGTGCTTTTGAAATCAGCATCCCAATTTTGAGGATTTGCATAACATGACAACCAGGTACTTTTAGGAGGCAGGTACTGGTTGGAATAGGAGCATTGGCGACTGTTCTTCTCCCAGTAAGCTATGCTTTCTCTGAAGGTATTGCATGTTTGTTATCTGATTGTGTCCATTTCATTCCTATGTTATTGAACACTTGGTATGGGCGCTCATGCAACCATATAAATGTGGCATTTCTACTCGATCGTGTAATATATATGGTGGTGTTCAAATGGTATTGCCATTTCTTGCAGAGGTACCAAAGGATTATCAAGCTTATGTTGATTTTTCAGATGGATATTCATTCTTTTATCCTTCAGATTGGAGGGTAAGAATGAGATGCTTTTGTAATTTGTCTAAGGTTTCAATTGGGAATGACAGATTTATACTTTATCACCCTTGCTCAAAATAGTGTAATTTCAATTTATTTTACAAACATTGCAGATAATGAATTTGATGTTCATTTTCACATTCAGGACTTTGAGTTTCTAGGGCATGATTCAGCATTCAAAGATCGCATCTTGCCCTTGCAAAATGTGAGAGTCAGTTTTAAGCCAACTGATAAAAGTGATATCCATGATCTAGGTCCAATGAAGGAGGTAGTCTTGTGCATTCATAACTCCCTCCCTCCCT